TAAAGTGCCAGTACAATGGCAACTTAACTCAAAACCAATAAATAAATAAGTGGCTGACAGTGTGTTCATCCCTGTGCTCACACAAAGTCATAGAACATTCACAGAAAACACCAATAGTGTGAGTCAAAGTACTCAATATGAAGAGGTTGTTCACACTGCTTACAGCCATAGACTGTAGGTCTACCAGCTCTCTCATTTTTAGAGAGAAGTTGACCAAAAACATTCCTCTCATCCACAAATCTTGTGGCCCAGAAGGTTCAAAATAGGGGTCTTCAACGTCATAATTTCTGTCAATATGATCTCGCTAAGGCTGGATGCTTCACCTCCACAGCTGCTTTCTGCCTCTGTCATTGTTTACTTTCCTCACAAAGCATGTGGCAAGATCCAAGCGTGAATCCGATCACTTTATTTAGCTTTATTAGCCTATCAGAGGCAGACGGGTATGATGACTTGATTCACCACCAAAAATGATTAAAAAACTACAGAATGTTACAAAATGACGTGCCTGCGCTTCCGGCTTGTAGGGAGCAGAGCTGCCGGCTTGGAAGGGTATGCTTCTCCCAGCTTGGAAGGTTTAAATGTGTACATGCTGTCCCAGCTTAAATGGGTTAGGGTCAAGAGACTGGGATGGCCATATCAGAACCTTCAGTTTTTTTCTGCTGTAGCCAATGACAGGGTGACTTGGCCTTGTGTTTTGAACATAGACTGTATATACTATGGACAACCTGGTTCCGCCTTCTGCCTGTATACGGATTTGAAGCCAAAAAGCTCTTGGTAATTCCGGGTTTTTCTCCACTTCCTTGAAACCAGCGCTGTGCAGTAGCGATGCGCGCATTCGGCCGCGCAGTCGCAGAGAGTCCCTGTGATGACACTCTGCTCAGACAGCATATCCCCCTGGGTGAGCTACGCAATCCCTGAACGCCCATAGGCTGTACCAGGTGTCAATCATAGCAAACATGAACCCCCTAATAACTTTTAAAAACGGAGCTGTACAGAAAAAAAAAGGACTTAAGCACAAACCAGTCTGACAGTAACTACATGTCAGCATCACAAGGAGGGGGGAGAAAAATGTATGTTCTGTGTAATAAATTTCTAAAGTTTGTCCACAGTCCCATAAACTTTGCTGGCGGAGGCGGGATTTATGACCTGTACTGCAGCCCACCATCAGAGGGTGCTGTTCTCGGAGTGGCTTCACCGATTGAGGAGGCAGACTCTGTCCATTCTTTATACAGTCTATGGTTTTGAATTGCTGTCATGTTAGAACATGAAAGTACATCCTCTGTGCAGCTTTCACGCTATGGAGTGAATTTTTCTTCCAGTATTTTCTGATGACATACTGATCTCATTTTGACCTCGTGCCTGTGTGGCTCAAACATTTCCAAAACATCACCATGCTCCATGCTTCACAGGAGGAATGGAGTACCATTCATCATCAGCCTTCTCTCCAAATGAAGCGTTAATGGTTGTCATGGTTATGGTTGTGGTAAAGGTTGAGTTTGGTCTCATCAGTCCAAGTAACTTTGCTCCAGAAGTTTTGCAGCTTGTCTCTGTGAGCTGTTTGGCGTATTATAAATGGGCTGCTATGTGGCATTTGGACTGTAATGGCTTTCTTCTGGCGACTCAACCATACTGCCCATTTTTCCTCATGCGCCTCTTTATTGGGCATCTTGAAAAAGCCACACCACTTTAACCACAATCCCATTTTTTAGCTTAAGTTTTTTCCTGTCAGCTGTGTCCTTTTATATGTTGGTCCACCTTCTAGTTCAAGTTTGAATGCTGCTGATTGGTATTTTAACTCTCCTTTTCCTGTTTCTTAGAGTTCAACTACCTTCTTTCGCCATGGTTCAGAATCAAGTCAGTGCAGCACTAGATGAAACATTCAGCAGTCTGTCAGGAAACATACATCTTATATACTCACATTGATTACAATGTTACAATGTCCCTTAGCAGAAGCTTTGATCCAAAGTGATGTACATATGAGAACAAGAACAGCACAAGCAAAGATCACAACCAAGTTACCAAAATACCAAGTGCTGGGTCACTAAAGCCCTGAACATAAACTCCCAGAGTAGGGCAGGTCAACTGTAGCTGGAGGAATCGTTTTGGGGATAACAGTGGTGACTGGTCCAGCTAAGTGCATGGTGTCCTGTAAAAAGCTGGGTCTTTAGCTGTCTTTTAAAGTAGAGAGAGACTCTGCAGAGCCAATGGAGTTGGGTAATTCATTCCGCTGTTTATGGACAACAGAGGAGAAGAGTGAGCCTGGTAATTTAGGGGCCTGGGCCAGGGGCCAGATGCCTTTCTAAGGCTGAGCATAGTGGGCGAAAAGGGGTGTAGACCTGGATGAGGGGGTCCAGGTAAACCAGAGCAGTTTGGGTAACTGCTTTGTAAGCTGTGATTAGAGCAGCCTTTCTCAAGGTAGATGCATTCTGGGTTGCCGTCTGCGTCAGGGATGCTCTCAAAAAATTAAAGTATTCTGACGTTTCATACAGAAATATATGACTAAATAAATACATCTATTCTTTTTACATATTTGCATGAAAAAATAAATACATTTATTCTTGATAGATAAAAACCTTAAATTAATTAACAAAATCTGTCCCATTGGCCCTTTGTCAATAACGTGTCATGATGTCAATAACCCAGCTCACAGGGGAAAATCTTTATGGATTGTTTTCTTAAATGAAAAGCCCACAAGAACCGAACATCACTGAATCTGAAACGGAGCCTCAGCCCACTCCCCCAGGTGAGACTGAAGACTAAAACATACAGCATGAGCGCGCATCGGCATTTTGCAGCAAATAGGTTGCCATTCTAATCAATGCAGCATCGCATACAGCTCCGTCGCAGCATTGTAGCATAAGCGTATCTAGAGCAACACTGCTAAAGATACATGACGAGTCTAATTTTGCAGCTCTATGCTTCCAATGCCCGTCAATCTACAAAGAGAAGGTCGTTCTAGACAGTAAACCACACGTCATCCAGTCAAAAAAAAACTACATATGCGAACTTCAGACTGTGCATCAGTTCTTGTAGATGAGAAATACATCCTGGTTATGGATTTATCAGTCACAAAGAACAATCTGATGTTCAATCCCTGAACCATGTGGCTCCCAGCAGGGATTTTAACTGCTAACTCTGTCTGAAGGTAACGGCACACCATAAAGGAACATAGTTTACTTTATTGAACACGAGTAAACCTGCAAAAACTGAAACTGTAAAATCAGGTTGCTTTTATACATATGGTAGAGGCTCAAAGGTCTCTAAATTATAACCAAATTAGCAGGAAATAGACCACAGAAAGGCAAAAAAACCTGTTGTGAGCATGTTGTTTCCTCTTTACTGAGCCCAGCTGACCTAGGCTGCACTACGCTGCTGCTACACTCAAAATACGTATCCTGTATGTGATACCAACTGCTGCTCTACGGAACAAATACGGAATGCGCTCCATGAAGTTTGAGAAACGCTGGATTAGAGTTTTATATTTGATGCAAGCAGGGACTAGAAACCAGTGAAGGGAGATGAACAGAGGAGTGACAGGGGCTGTCTAGGGCAGGTTGAAGACCAGGTGTGCTGCTGTGTTCTCACCTGCAGAGTTTTAACTGTGCATGCAGGGAGGCCTGCCAGTAAGGAGGTGCAGTAGTCAATGTGTGAAATTACAAAAGCCTGAACCAGGAGCTGTGCTGTGTGTTTTAAGCAAACAGACCACGGGTGAGGAGCACAGTTACCTTCATTGGCTGTTAAAACTTTTGTGTGTTTTGGCATCGGGCTGTAGCGATTTTAAATTCAAAATAAATGTCGAAAATTAATCAAATTAAATTATGACATTTATGCACTCGTTGAAGGGGCACCACCCACCTTTCTGGTGGGAAAAAGGACGAAACAAAGTTCAATTGAGTAATTAAACGTTGGATCAGTCTTACACAGATTTAAATCAGTCTCTCATCTGAGGCCGGAATTCTTCATTCAGGGACTACTTTCTGAAAGACCACTAAGACGACAACTTAGAATTAAATGGACAATTTATTAACAAGCTATATGATAACAAAACGTCAATAAATGATGATCAAATAATGAGCAAATCAAAGCACATCTAATGAATAAACGAAGGAATGGTTTAAATTAAACCTAAGACTGGAGGTTAATAATAGTGAGTGAATAAGGGGAAATTTAACCTACGTTAACGGAGTTACGAGGGTAAATAAAAGGAATTTGGAGAACTAAACTATAACTTATAAGAGTAAGCTACTGAACGGTTGACGGCATCACCCAGTTCTCATCACAGCAGTTTAGAGGATTTAGCCTACTTTGGACGTCGGTTCTCAGCGGCACCCTTGGAATGGATCAGCTGAAGTTCTGTGGCTACCGGACCGGATACTGAAGGTTCGGCGGGGAGTTCTTCCGCCGTGTCTGGATCTCAGCTTCAGGACCGTGTCAGCGCCGTTAGATACTTCGGATCTCTGGGCCTCTCGGAACCAGGTGGCAAAGCAGCTTGGCAGATGATGCTGGTCGGTGTTCAGGACTTGCTTGGTTGCAGATTAATTCGCGCCAATAACTTAAGAAAATAATTTCGCTGGCCAGCCGATATTATCTTCAGGAGTCACTTTAGCGAACAAAAATAAAAAGACTTAGACTGAGGTTCTCTTATGCGCGCAGCTTGTTACTGAGGCTCTAAAGGACTTGGGAATGCTTTCATCCAAGTTTAGAATAAAAATCTGAGCTTAAGGCACTTAATAAAACGCGGGGAAAAATTGCGAACGATAGGCGAAGACAAAAGAAAACTAGACGAAGACAAAAACGGAAGAGACAAAAACTGAAGAGAAGACAAAAACTGAAGAGAAGACAAAAACTGAAGACCGAGCAAAGACTCCCGGGCTCTTTTAAACAGTCCCGTGTGGGCGTGAGCCAAGAGGGAAGTTACAGCCAATGCTGTAACCCGATGCAGCACATCGACTGGCAGCGAATTAACTCAACTTGATATTAAAAGTGAGCTAGATCCAATTTACTCACTCACTATGATTAAACTGTTTGTAACATCACATACGATCACATTTCACTTCATTGTTTCTTATGAGCAGACGCATTAAAGCATGACATTGAAAACAGTAAACTTTGATCAGCCGTCTTCTTGACACTAACAGAGGATTAACGACTTTTAAAAGTTAGAGAGGGACAGAAAACAAATTATCTATTCGAACAGAAACACCATCCAGCATAAGAAACACATATGTAATAATATTTGACAACATTATAACCTTGTCAATCAAGCTTCCTAGATGATTAATATATATTTTTGTGTGAGGTAGATAAAACATAGTATGGATACATTCCGAAACTCTTAACTTGAGTCTAAACGAGTTTCACGTTACTACTTCTAAACTACTAGCCTATCTTGGGAATACCATTTACTAAGCTACGAAGTGTATAACAAAAGGAAAGAAATACACGTGATTAGATTCCTGCCATTTGGCTCTGATCAAACCATATTCAGGCATCACCACTAGGAGGAGCTCTTGGTCCATGGAAAACCTGGAATAAATTTGTGAAGTTAACAGTTTGGCTTGTGGATATGTTACAGAATTGGGAAAAAGACCATTTCATTAAGAATGTGGTGTACAGACAGAAAATCCTGGTGAAGTGTCCATTAAACATGAAGTTAAACCATTTTCAGGCATCTTCTTCCTTCTGCTCTGTAAAGAAAGCCAAGGAATTTATGGCAGGCATCTGGTTTTTCAGATTTGGCGCCAACTGGCCTGTTTTCCCCCCTAGGTCATTGGGTTAATCCTGAAGTGTCAATTCTGATCTTTCCCAACCAGGGTGAGAGACTCCGTGTTTATGGGTCTGTGTGGTTGATAAGCAACTTGTCCTTTTTGGGAAGCGTTAAAGATTCACTATCACCTCCCAAATGGTTGCCTGGGTCGTAAATGGGAACTTGGTGTGCAAACCGTTACTCCCCCATTTCCTGTCCAAACCAGAGGAGCCTGCATTCCTTTGAGGGGTGAATTCAAGGTGGATAGCAGAAAGCAGTTGTCTCATTACATATCCCCCCTTCGTCTCGATGGCAGCTCCAGGAGCCATTGGGACGACGAGATGAGACGACCAGGTGGAAGCAGCAGTTAGTCCAAGGAGGGTGATGCGTCTCGTTCAGAACTATCTACTTCGTTAGATCTATTGTGTGTGTTAAGCCTACTACATCTATGGGTGCGGGGTTACAGGAAGCTGACTACACCTCGAGCATGTGGCTCACCTTGTCTTCCTCTGGCTGTTCAACTTCCTGTTCCGTTTCAGGTTGTCTACGGAGTCGTAACCTAGTGACACAGTGGTCTATTTTGTACTGTAGGGCTTTACCACGTTTGACGTAGATGAAGGTTAACCCGAAGGTCAGGAGGTACCCTAACACTATGGCGGCTGCTAGTAAGGTGTCTGGGGTGGACCAAACATAGACTATTGGTTGCAGCGGGGACTTCTCTTGGGACCTTATGTCTATAAGGACGTCATCTACAGGCGTTAGGTCAATGATCTGAGTACCTGCATACTGGATTTGAGAAATAGTGTTTGGATCTAACTGCAGCGTATGCTTGCTGAAAAACGCTGGCACTTCAATCTCTGTTTCGAATTGCTCAGGGTTGAGGTAAAAGAGGGCAATGTCATCTATATGGAGAATGGCATTTGGTGGCACCTCAATCCACATGGTCTGATCCAGTAGAGAAATGCGTGTGGCAGTATCGTGCTGGTCGTAATTTACAATGGCAGTCTTGGTGGGGTGTTAACTAACCAACGGTGACCCACTCTTTCGGCCTGCGTTACAGTCACTTGTGAGCGGTGTCTTGCTGTAGTAGGGCATTTGGTGTCGGCCACCATGGGCGTAAGGCCGCAGAGGCCATTAGTACTGTCCCACACAAATGGTTTACTGGGGCAGAGGTAGTGTATGTCTTTGGTTCGTGTGCACATACGCAGGTTAGGAGCTAGATATAGGTCAGGATTGCTGTCGTGGTAAGCGACCACTGGTGGGGTCTGAATTTGGAGGTGTGCGTCCTCTTTCCAAAACCCGACATTGACTACATCCTTTAGCCTATAGATGCTTCCTGATGCTATAATTGGCAAGTTAATAAGGAAAGCAATTTCTCGATCTTCGGGATTAACGTAAATCGGCACAGCGCTACCTAGGGTATACGCGAGGTGGGCTTGTAAAGGAGTGGTGGCCTCTCTGGTTGCAGTTGATAGTAAATCCTGAACCAATGAGAGAGGTACCAAGTACGGAGGGATCCGGCCTGCAGCCAAACTGTCTATTGAGGATGATATTTCTTGCAACATGTCTGACATGAGCATATTCAATAGCATTGTGTGAGCATAGTCGACCTGGACCACCGACAACAAAGAATTTACAGCACGCAGCGTCTTATTCAGGACTTCTGTGTGGGTGTTAACCACCAGAACGGTGCCCTTGACTGTTTGACCAATAGTCTGCAGTTGTGTCTGCTGTCTGTTTATCTGAGCCCTGATGTCTGGGATTTCGGCTTCTAGCTCACCCACATGGCGTTTGACGGCAGCTAAGCTAATTGCATTAACAGAGGAGAGCCCAACACCAAAAAGAGAGCCAACAACCGAGGCTGCGGTGAGCAATGCTCCGATAAAACGCTTGGACCTCCTGTTGGTACCACTTAACTCTGTTTGAGAGACAGTGAATTTCTGAAGTTGCTCTAACATGTAAGTAATGTCCAACTCGGCGTGATTTACGACCTGTCTGCTCCAATGTGTCCCGGCCCAACTGGTCAGTTGAGCTGTTACCGGAACATTTTTCTTGAGGACTTCCTTAGGGTTGAGCCTGACAAACACCTTCTGTGTGTGCAGGCGACAGTCTGTTATCAGGAGTCCAGGCTGATCCCTTAACACAATTCCAGAGTCCGGTCCTGGCTCTATGATCTCAGGGCTAGCTGGAGCAGCTACCAAGCCGAGAATCAGGAGCGCTATCAGCCAAATCATCCTGAGGAAGAGGGTGGACATAGTTAGGATAAGTTGGTAGAGGACAATCTAGAATTCAAATGTTCCCTGTCACTTTATTTTCTCCTCCCCCCTTTGTAACCCAAAGTGTGCCCGAGGGCAACTCAGTGGCAACAATTCAACAATAATACAGACGCACAAATAGGATAAACTTCACGTGGACACAATATCTATGAGGACTAGGGGACCTGACGTCAATCAGGAGAACTTAGGACTGTTCTAGTTTATGACTCAAGGGTGGCGCTGGAGGCCCCGACAAGTCCCATGGGGTTGTGGTGAAGTTTAATCTGGTTGCGGTGGACCCATTTAAGGGTCGGCTCTTTGTTGCCCTTTGCGATCTTAATTTGGTACACAACAGAAGAGAGCTTTTCAGTGATCAGGTACGGGCCTGCCCAGCGGGGCAGGAACTTTCGTGCCAGTCTCCCAGACTTTGGGGCTTTATCTCCAATGGGCTGGGTGAACAGGTAGTACCATACCTTGTCACCTACTTGGAGTTCCTGTTGGGAGGCTTTTTGGTCATAATAGGACTTGCGTCCTTCAGCACTTTTGCTGAGATGCTCTTGGGTGAAGGCAAACGTTGCCTTCAGGTGCTGGTGTAAGTCAGTCATGTACTGATGGGTCGTGTAGGCCGTTGCTATACTGGCCTCACCTGGCTGATACAGCAGGTGCAGAGGTAGGGTCATCTGTCTGCCCGTCATCAACTCGAAGGGTGAGAACCCGGTTGACCCATGTGGAGTCGCTCTGATGGCCATCAGGACCAAGGGAAGCTTAACATCCCAGTCCTTGTGGTTGGCTGACACATACTTTTTCAGTATGGTTACCACTGTTCGGTTTGCCCGTTCTACCTGTCCAGACGACTGGGGGTGGTGGCTGATGTGAAAGTTGGCTTTGACGCCCAACAGTTGCCACAGTTGTTGCATTACCTCTGAGGTGAAATGTGTCCCTCTGTCAGAGTCGACACGAGTTGGGAGTCCGAACCGCGAGAAGATGTGGTTCATCAAGAGGTATGCTGTGGTCTGAGCCGTATCGTTTGGGGCTGGTAGGCATTCTACCCATTTGGTGAATGCACAGACAACTGTGAGGAAGTATTTGTTTCCTCTTGCTGACTTAGTGAGAGGACCCACCCAATCGATCTGGAGGTCTGACCAAGGAAAGGAGATACCTCTGCGCTGTAGGGGTGCTCGATGAAGTGGGTTTGCCGGTTGAAACTGGCAGCAAACCAGGCACCCTTTTATGTAATCAGCTACATCTTTCTGCATGTGTGGCCAATAGGCCACCTGTTGGAGAGCATGGAGCGTGGCTTTGTTTCCTCTGTGTCCTGCGCACGGTGTGTCATGGGCGTATGTCAACATTACCCCCCTGTGGCTGCGAGGCACCACGAGGGCAGGCGAAGTGAGTGCTTCGGAGACATAAACCAGAAGGCCCTTGACGAGCCGCAGTGAAGAGCGCACGCGGAAAAGATGGCGCAGGCCAGGGATGGAGGCAAGCAAGTCAGGAGGCATGGAGGAGTCAGGAGGCCCTGAAAGGAACTGCGTCATGGCAGCAATGGCTGGGTCCGAAGCTTGGAGCACCAGCAAGTCAGAGTCAGAAAAAGCCGGAGCCACAGTGGCGGAGACCGGGCCCGAGGGAGCCGGGCGAGGTGGAGCTCGAGACTGGGCTCTGGTGACAGCACAAACCAGGGGCACGGGTGGGAGGGGAAAAACAGAGGGCTCAAAGTGCCAGTTTGAGCCAGTTAAGGCCCCCTGCTTGGCCAAGGAGTCAGCCTGGTCATTAAACATCTTGTCTGGACCAGGGATACGAGAGTGCCCCCTGACTTTCTTCCAATAGATCTGGAGATCATGGTTAGAGGTCAAGAAGTCGCACGCCAGGAACAGATCTTTGTGTTTGACCGGCTTTCTGTTCGAGGTCAAGAAACCGTTGCGTTTCCACAAAGGCAGATGACATGAGAAGCTGAGTCGCGCATAGTTGGAATCTGTACAAATCGTTAAGGCGTGGATTTTGTGTTCCACCGCAAGTTGCAAAACAATCAGAATGCCTGCCACTTCAGCATACTGGGACGTTTGGGCCCCTAGGTTGAAGCTGAGTGGTTCACATGGTTCATCGTTGACCCAGACAACACCCACGCCTGCTCTAAGAACAGTGTCGTGGTGGTATGAACAACCATCAACGTAAGCTGTAATCATGTCTTTGCAGACATTGTCGTCGAAGTACCGGTGGCAAGATAATTCAGGTGGCTCGGGGTCGCAGGTTGGGGACCCTGTGTCCGCGCTGTCTGTCAAGCAGCTTTGGCACGCTGCGAGTTCCATCCCGAGAGGTGTTTTGCGATTTTGGGCGTAGTGGACCTCGATGTCAAAGCTCTGAAGAGCCATAAGCCAAGATGCTACACGAGCGTTGGTTACAACGCCGTCTCTGATTCTTTGGCTGTTAAGGAAGGTCACTGGTTGATGATTGGTTTCCACAATCACCTTTTGGCCTCCAAGATAATTCGAAAAATGCTTCACAGCCCACACAGTGGCGAGAAGCGCCTTTTCGCAGTCGGAGAACTTTAGTTCAGGAGCCAACAAGGTTTTGCTAGCATACGCGACAACTCGTTTATCCGAGTCATGGATCTGGTATAATCCTGCACTAAGGCAGTGACAAGAGAAACCGACCTCCAGATAGAACGGTCTGTTGCAGTCTGGGTAGGCAAGACAAGGAGCTGCACAGAGTTTGTCTTTTAAAGCTTGCATGGCGTGTTGTTGGGACGGTCCCCAAATGAATGGTACGTCCTTTTTCAGTAAGTTGGTGAGGGGTTTTGCTAAGTCTGCATAGTCCTCAATGAACTGTCGGGAGTAGTTGCATACTCCCAAAAAGCTGCGAAGCTCTGAGACGTTCGTGGGAGCTTTAAGGTTTGACAGGCCTTGAATTCGACTCAGCTGTGGTTCGACACCTGTTGGACCAACCAGCAAACCGACGTAGTTCACCTTGGTCCTGCACCACTGACATTTCGACAGAGATATCTTTGCCCCGGCGTTCGTGAGCTGGTTCAGGACATGGTCAATCTCAGCGAGATGCATGTCCAGGGTTTGGTTCCTCATTAAGATGTCATCGACATATATGAGGGTGCCTCTCTCACTAGCATCTGGGCAGGCTTTGTTCAGAAAGATGTTGAACTCTGCTGGCGAGTTGGCATAGCCGAAAGGGCATCGGGTGAAGGTGTACTGCCTGTTGGCAAAAGTGAACGCCAGTTTGTGCTGGTCAGCTTCCTGTACTGGTATCGTCCAGAACCCTGATGCCACGTCAAGAGTGGAGAAGTATCTCGCGTCAGTGATCTTTGGCAGATCCTGTTGGAGCTGAGCCATAGGCCACCTGGAAAGGGGAACTTGTTGGTTCAGCTTTCGGTAATCGATGGTCAGTCGCCATTTACCGTTTGGTTTCAGTACCGGCCAGAGTGGGGCTGAGTAGGTACTGTTACATGGCCGAATGATCCCTTTCGCCAAAAGATCATCTATGATTTCCTGAATAGGTTCATAGGACGCTAAGGGAATTTTGTACTGGCGTACAAAAGTTGGTGGTGCATCCGGTGGTGTCGGAATGCGGATAGAGTGGATAGAGGTTAAGCCACAGTCAAGCGAGTCTTTTGCGAAAGAGGCTCGATATCTGTGCAGAAGTTTGCGAAGCTTTTCACGCTCCTCTTCGCCGTTCAGGGCGTCTGCCTCAGCTACGAGCTGTTCGACTTTGGCATCAAAGTCTGGATCGTGCTCAGGTGTTTGCCCGGTTGGGAAGATAGAGGGTTCTACCCCGGAAAGTGTATGGGCCGATTCTGGCTCCGAACTGACGCTTAGGACTTGCACTGTGTGCAGGATCATCTGTGAGTCCTCAGAGAGGTCACCCTGGCAGATGGTGTCGTGGTCCAGCGGTACAGTTGGGAAGAGCGAGATAGCCCTGGAAGGTAGGGTATGAAAGACCTGTTCCGGCGAATGGTCTGACATCAGAGAACGGGGCATTTTTCCTATTACAGGAATCCTCAATTCAAAGTCGTGGAACGACGTGCTGATCAACCAACCCAGCAGGGTGGATTTAGGGATCAGGATATCTTCGGGTGTCGTGTTTTGTACAAGCAAGTGTGTGAATCTCGAGTGAAGCTCAAGAAGAGGAGTTGCCTGAGTAGACAGCCCTAGTTTAAGAAAGAGCAACGACGGCTGGAAGAAAGCTTGAGTGTGCGACAGCTTTTGTCCACGTTGTAGGTTCAAGCGAATGGGAACGTTTGTGGTCATTGCAGGTATGACAATGTCAAGTTCATTGGCTACCTGACAGGCTTCAGGGATTGACTGTCCTGATATGATGTTGTCGACATCAGGGGTCAGGGTTTCCTCATTAACACTGGTAAGGGACCACAGTATGTTGTTAATGGTATCGACCTGGACTGCCAACCTGACCAGTATATCACTTCCCATGTAGACCTGATATGGTAGGTCTGGGATGACCAAGAAGTGGTGAGTCATCTCCCTTTTGTTCCATCGCACAGTTAAGGCACAGACGCCTTCAGCAGTCATGGTAGCTTTAGGAAGGGAGTCCAAGGGGAAGCGAAATGCTTTCCGAACACACTGGAGGTTCGGGTCATCCCTAGACAAGGCGTCGTACAGTTCACGGCTGATGGCTGATCTGTCAGCCCAAAGAGCCAAAATCACATCGTTGACGTGATTCTCATTCAAGTTGATGCCTTCAGTGATCAATGGCCCGGGTGTGTCGGGTCCATTGGTGTCATCGAATTTGCACAAAAATGTGTCCCTTTTTATGACTGAGTCATCGAAAGGCCACGAGCAGGGTTGTGGCTCGTCGTCAGTCAAGTAGGGTTGTTCCGGTGAGCTTACACTTGTCGGTGTGCTTGTAACAAGTTCACGCGTCAAGGCGTAACACTGAGCCCGATTCTTGTCGGTTGCTGGTATGGGTAATGGTCTGCGGACCTGTGCCCATATTTTCAGCTGTCGATAGTCGATCAGGGGCTCAAACCGTTTTAAAAGGTCTTGACCGATGAGGAAAGGAATCGACTCAAGGGGCGACACATACACGGGGTGCATGATTTTCATTGGTCCAATGGAGATGTTCAACATCGTCATTGTATTTAAAGTCGTACTGTCTGTAGAGTACGGCCGAATCTCCATGGCGCAGGGCTGCAGCTTGATGTCCCTGTTGGACTGCTGCACCATATTGCGCAAGCGATTAAAGAGCGTGGAGGACATCAGAGTGATGTCAGCAGCAGTGTCTAGGAGTGCTTCGTGTTGAAGTTCATTTTCAAGGACGGTATTAACGTAAAACTTCTGTGCGATGCCTTTCTCAGTGAGGTTGCACAAGAATTGGAGGAAAGGTGGTTCAAGCCGAATAAGTGAGGAGTCTTCTTCGGCTGGCTCCTCTGCGGAGTTCGCCTGTACTACCAAGACGGCGCTGGTAGATGTCGTTTCTTGTGATGTGTTGTCCTGAGGTTCAAGATCGGCAGGAGTGTCAGCTGGTGAGGGTGTCACCGACTCCTGTAAGGACATACACACGTCCTCCTGAAATTCAGTTTGCTGGACAGGCATCATGTTTGGCTCAGAAGTGTCATCCTGGACGGCGGCGACAGCGACAGAGAAGAGATCTGCTTTCTTATCTCCTTTTCTCTGTATTCTACGGATTATTTGTCTAAGGAGTTTACGTTCTTCCTCTGTCAGATCAGAGGACTTTGATTCACCCTTAGCTCCGCCTTTAGATCCACTACCCTTCTGGGGATGGTCTGATTTGGCCTTTGTACCCATCTCTTCGTCAGAAAATGCTGATTGAGACTGCGGGTAAGGTCGCTCTGAGTTTCGTTCTCGGCGTGGGCCATAACGATCTGACCGGTCTCTCCACCCCCTGTTATCAGGTCGGTAGGGCCGATGGGTGTCATCCCTTCTAGGGTGAGCCCCATCCCTGCGAGAGTACGAGGGTGGACGATCTTCGTCAAATCTGACCTGGTGTCGTTCACTGTCAGACCGAGGCTGCTTCAGGTTTTGACCTTTATCAGCTGGCTGATATCGGGAAGTTTTCAGATTCTGGGTTGGTCGGGCTGTTGCAGTTTGAGGTGCATCTGAATGCGCACCCACGGCACCGCCCTCCAGATCTAGGGGCATGGACCTTGTGTCCACAGCCAAGACAGTACCAGGTTCGGCTTTCTTGGATTGGGTGTGTCGCTGTTTAGCGAAGCCTTTTACAGCCAGTTTGCGGAGCTGTCTGCTGTTTAAGGTTCGGGGACAAGCAGCAACACCAAGATGATGACTCGTGGTCGGATGGAGGTTTTGAACAAACAAAGTCTTAAAGTTTAGATCTTCCTCCATTTCAGGTTCATTTTGACAACCAAAGTAAGCCTGGCGAAGGCGACCGTAGTACAACTGGGGAGATTCCTGTCTCTCCTGTTTGACTAACAGTGCAGCAGCTAAACCAGTGGGTGTAAGGGAGTCAGAAAACTCGTCAATTAATGCCTGACACAGCAGGTCATAGTCATTCTTGACCCGACGCGGTTGTCGTTCAATGAAGCTGCTAACCTCTCGATTGGAGGTAGCTTTGATCAAGTAGATTTTGTCATCCACAAGAGCACCTGGAAACTTCCTCAAGTAGAAGTCGATGTCTTTCAAGTAGGTGCTTGGGTCTTCTGAACCTTTTCGACCGGGTTCAAATCGTGTGATGTTACGAGCCATCTTGTCCAGATCCCTGTCTGTGGGATATGCCGCTTGACGAGCAGCAGGCGTGGACTGAGGTTGGTAACTCAGGGAACGATACCCGGAAGGTATTGGTTGGGGAAGGGGCGACAAAGTATGACCCGAGTTCCGTCCGGTGTCATCCGGACTTGATCGACCTGAATGTCCTCTGGGGACACGACTCGGTCGGAAGGTAGGGAATGGAAGCGTCTGTTGACTGCTTGGCGAGCTTCGCCCGCTCTGATCTTGCTGTGGTTGACCCAGACTAAATTTCCTCTGAGTCTCGAGGAGCATTTGCTTTAGATTAGCAGAATGTCTCTCTTCTGCTTCGAGGGCCACCCTTTTACTTTCAAACTGGGCCTTCCAGTCCCTTGCATCAGTTGAGGACTGATCTAGGTTGCTTTTCATTCTTGACAACTCCTGTAATTGTTCATGAATGGTGGACCTAGCGTCCGAAAGCTGAGCTTCCTTTTCCTCAATGGTGTCATGCAAGTCTGAGATTTGGGTTACTAAGGAAGGGTTTTGATCATGTTGGGATGGAGGCTCTGCTTGCATCTCATCCAAACTGTCTCGAGCTTGCTGTAGAGCCCTTTCAGTGCCTCCCAGCTCCTTTTTGAGATCATCAATTTCCTTCATTTGTGCCCGTATCTGTTCTTGGGCCCTTCCCATGGCTTCGTCTTGTCTCTTAATTTGGACAGACATCACACAAGCCAAGCGTGCTAAAACTTTGGGGATCTCTTTCTCTTTAGGTGGGTGTTCTGTGACCCAATCGATCACCTCATTCAACACAGTTTGAAGCCCATTGTTATCAGTGCGATTCGCTTCGTCTACATAGCCTGGGAGCAGCGGCTGAGTCAGAGTTGTCAGCGCATGCTTTAGCTCCTCACTAAATAGTTGCCAACTTGCCTCCTTACGTTCTGCCATGTTGCTTCAAGTTTAGTAAGGTTGGTAGGTTAATGAGTTTAACAAAATAGCCGTGCCTATAAAGCAAATTGAGAAAAGCTGTGAATTTAGGACCAAAAGATAAGCGCTTTAAGCAAAGTCTGGTTCACGCTAAAATAGCTGGATGTTTATTTCCGGAATGAAACAAACAAAGGAAGCTAAAACAGAATTTGGATTTTAGCTGAAAAAGAATTACGTACAAAAATCAAACCTAATCACAGCCAAATCTCATAGTCCAAACCGGATTTGGTCAAATAAACTTTACAGAAAGGAGTACAGGGAAACCTTAAAAGTAAATAGCGGATTGTCAGCTAAGCGTGGAAGGAAGGTAAAAGCTGAAAGTAATCAGGATCAACAATGCAGTTGTAGATGCAATTAAATCTTTCAAGTCTTCACCAGATAATCAAAGTAAAATTGTCCAAATTCAATTGACCTAAAGGAATAAAACAAAAATTCTGATCGTAGGTTGATTAGGGAATTATTGAATTAATTGATTAATGTTACATTAATGAATTAATTAACTATTGCCCTAAGTCTGTGATCACATTTAAGTGTTTTATAAAGGGTCACAGAAAGATGGAGGCAATGAACAATGATTACAGGATGACAAAGATTTGATTCAGCTATTCTCCTTGATAAGGCAGGTGATCTATCTGTATAAAGTAAAAATAAAAGTTGTTTATCAAGTAAATCAACGTTTTATTTGTAGTACAGAAACTAAAGACTCAATCAACCAACTCAATCTGACTATGTCTGCATGGCATCTGTTTGACAACAGGGAGGCGTGGCAGTCGGCTAGACTGCAGTCTGTTTACAATGAGGTCCAAGCAAAACAAAGGCCACGTGGCTGTGAGCCGGCTTGCAGTGCTTGCCGCTCACCACACGAGGGCGATGTTCTAGGGGGCGGTTCGACCGCTCCGTACGTCGCGACGCGACGTTATGACGTAGCTATTGGCTCCACCCCTCGGGGTGGCCTGCCTATTCAACACTGGCCGAGTAGTCTCTCCAATGGACACCAAAGGGTTAACACCTCACTGCGGCTGCGCGCGCAGTGGCAATGGGAAGATTCAACGCTGCGTCTCTAACAGCGGATTGCTTCACCAGACTCCTCTGGGAGTAACAAGAGTTTACACAGACAGATCTTACAACAGCAGACAAAACTGCGGACTTAAATTCACGAAATGCGGCGATTTGTGAAAAAGAATCGTGTCTGAAATCACTCTAACAACCTCTCACTGGAAACAGTGATCTCCCGCGACAGGTAGCTAATCTGCCGGGGAATGAGGGATAAACTGAATCCTTTACAGTTACTAGAACTTCGTAGCAGACTATACAGGGTTCAGGGACTCGGAACCACGGCTCGGAGCTTCGCGAACACCGGGTCCGGCCCAAGGCCTTCTAATACAAGCGTACGGCGACGCTGAAAATCGTGCACTCAAAAATTAACAATCTGGGTACGCGCGGCGGCGGCGCGCAGAGCAGAAAGCGCAGCCTCGCTGCAATCCAAAACAATGATCCACGTGGCCTAAGCTCACACACAAAAGTATGCAGCAGCAAAAATCAGCGCTATTACACAGAGCTCAATATCATCAGAACATGAAACAGAAAATACATCAAACGCCCAGTTCAGCAATTTCAAAAAGCATCAGACATACATTAAGCAAGCAATCCAGTAATTTCAGCAAGCATAGCATAGATCTTAAGAAGTCTAAGTTGGGAAAGTTTGGGTTTCTCACTAGTTTGGGAATCTAAAATAATCTTAAAGTTGTCTGTTAGTGCCTTACAGAAGTCGTTTGAATGGCCTCACACGGGGCACCAAATACTGTAGCGATTTTAAATTCAAAATAAATGTCGAAAATTAATCAAATTAAATTATGACATTTATGCACTCGTTGAAGGGGCACCACCCACCTTTCTGGTGGGAAAAAGGACGAAACAAAGTTCAATTGAGTAATTAAACGTTGGATCAGTCTTACACAGATTTAAATCAGTCTCTCATCTGAGGCCGGAATTCTTCATTCAGGGACTACTTTCTGAAAGACCACTAAGACGACAACTTAGAATTAAATGGACAATTTATTAACAAGCTATATGATAACAAAACGTCAATAAATGATGATCAAATAATGAGCAAATCAAAGCACATCTAATGAATAAACGAAGGAATGGTTTAAATTAAACCTAAGACTGGAGGTTAATAATAGTGAGTGAATAAGGGGAAATTTAACCTACGTTAACGGAGTTACGAGGGTAAATAAAAGGAATTTGGAGAACTAAACTATAACTTATAAGAGTAAGCTACTGAACGGTTGACGGCATCACCCAGTTCTCATCACAGCAGTTTAGAGGATTAAGCCTACTTTGGACGTCGGTTCTCAGCGGCACCCTTGGAATGGATCAGCTGAAGTTCTGTGGCTACCGGACCGGATACTGAAGGTTCGGCGGGGAGTTCTTCCGCCGTGTCTGGATCTCAGCTTCAGGACCGTGTCAGCGCCGTTAGATACTTCGGATCTCTGGGCCTCTCGGAACCAGGTGGCAAAGCAGCTTGGCAGATGATGCTGGTCGGCGTTCAGGACTTGCTTGGTTGCAGATTAATTCGCGCCAATAACTTAAGAAAATAATTTCGCTGGCCAGCCGATATTATCTTCAGGAGTCACTTTAGCGAACAAAAATAAAAAGACTTAGACTGAGGTTCTCTTATGCGCGCAGCTTGTTACTGAGGCTCTAAAGGACTTGGGAATGCTTTCATCCAAGTTTAGAATAAAAATCTGAGCTTAAGGCACTTAATAAAACGCGGGGAAAAATTGCGAACGATAGGCGAAGACAAAAGAAAACTAGACGAAGACAAAAACGGAAGAGACAAAAACTGAAGAGAAGACAAAAACTGAAGAGAAGACAAAAACTGAAGACCGAGCAAAGACTCCCGGGCTCTTTTAAACAGTCCCGTGTGGGCGTGAGCCAAGAGGGAAGTTACAGCCAATGCTGTAACCCGATGCAGCACATCGACTGGCAGCGAATTAACTCAACTTGATATTAAAAGCGAGCTAGATCCAATTTACTCACTCACTATGATTAAACTGTTTGTAACATCACATACGATCACATTTCACTTCATTGTTTCTTATGAGCAGACGCATTAA